TAGTTGACTAATCGACTGGTTGTTTTATATGGTATATATATCATATTTTGATCTTGTAATTAACTAATCGATTAATCGATTAGTTGGCTTAATCGATTTTTAATCGATTTTTAAAAAAATTTTGGCCAACCAATCGATTGCATTTTTTGGTTCGATTTGTAACACTAATCTGAATTCTAAAAAGTAAGATTGAACCTAAAGCTAATCATGTTGACTTAACATGATGCATTTTTAGTTCATTTATTTATACTGTATCCAAAAACGATTTTCACATTTTCATTCGATACGTAACTTTTTATTAATTAACGCAAATGAATAAGCAATCTTAGATATTTATTTGGATGCATCGTTAACACATGATAAATGCTGTAAGATCAGTATACGATATCGATATAATACGCTTCAATTATAGCATAGATAAGGAGAGTGAGGCATAAGAAAATTGTGTAAAAACAAATCTCTAAACTTATAGCATTACAAAGCAAAATAGGGGTTGGACAAATTTTTAATATGTAAATACGTACCATTTTGATATTTGATTTTGGTGAAAAATTGGAAAATTTTACCTTTAAAAAATCACTTAAAATTGAACAAATTATAAAATACTAATATGTATTAAAATTTTGATTGCAAAATAGGGTTCTACCACAAAATGCCGAAAACCATTTTCCCGAAAGAACATAATACCGACTAAATTGGCCAACATTATAACTAATGCAGGCTAACTTTGTCGGTATTGGGTCCTTTCGGGAATTTGTCTTCTGGGATTCTACGGTAAACCCACAAAATAGTTGAAACAACCCAGCAATCTCATTTTTTAAAAAGATCAACGTATGTCCGGACCTAGTCCCGGAAAGGTAATCTTAGTATGTACCGGTACATACGTCACTAAGTTGTTCGGCTTTGATCGTGAAATAGTTGCGTAGAATAAGGTATAAAACAGGCAATTATAAATAATCACAAAGGGATCAAAATCACTGCAGTGACACAAATCGTACATTTATACCAAATAGCGTACACGAATTTTAATTCATCGAAGATAGCAATGCACGCATGTTGCACACTATAATAAATATAAGTAACAAATATCAAATAAACATCGCTATAATTTACTCACTCTTTAATTTTCACTTCAATCCTTCTTTAATTTACAAATGGCAGAAACAACACCTCTGTTAACATCTACTTTACAAGTTCATGATCCTGTAATAGCAAAAACAACATCTCTGCTAACATCTACTTTACAAGTTCATGATCCTGTAATAATAGTAACTGTTCCGGAAAATAAAGCCGATATTTCAATAATAAATAATAAGCCGCTAAAAGCTATAATACATTTGATCGTGTTGTTTATCATTTCAACTGTTTTTGTCTATTTAACATTAAAAATATATTTGCCTCCGTTAGATGAGTAAGCTTCTATTGATATTTTTATTTATTTTTTTTTTTTTGAGAATTCAATTGAGAATTATTTGGATTTGTTAACTTAAAAGAAATCAAAAGCAACATTTACACTTGCCAAGAGGAATCGAGGATTTACGAGCACTAAATAAAATACTTAATGAATACATGGATCGATATCATTACCAAATAATGTTAACATATTCTGTTGTTTATGTATAGTAAGTTATTCATCCAATAATTCAGCCGATTACATTAATTAATAATACGTAACGATTATTTTTATCATAATTTTATATTTAGCCTACAAACGTTTTCGGTACCAGGTAGCATGTGGCTATCTATATTGGGTGGCGCATTATTTAGTATGCCCATAGCATTGTTACTTATTTGTTCGGTATGCGTGATTATTTATCAGATATTCGATTTTTGCTATCCAAATTTATGATTTCTCTTTTTAAACAAAAAAAAAGTGCGCGGGAATAGGCTCATCAAATTGTTATCTGCTTTCTAAAGCTTATGGTAAATCCTTTGTAAAATCTCGATTCAGATCAAAACTTGACGCTTGGTCTCGTCAACTTGATAAACACTCCCATCATCTACTAAACTATATGATAATCGTCCGTATATCTCCACTTCCTCCACATTGGTTTATAAATATTGCGGCTCCACATGTTGGAGTTCCGTTAATTCCTTTTTTCTTGGGTACTTTCTTTGGTGTTTTGGGCCATACATTGATTTATGTCCAGGCTGGTATGACCATAAGCGATTTGACGAGTGACCAAGAATTTACGATTTTTAGTTGGAAAAATGTTGGGGCCTTGGCATTAATTGCTGTGGCTGTTATGATTCCTGTATGGATTAGAAAGAGAGCAGGTATAGATAGTGAAAACTACCAAGAAATTGATCACGAATAAGATGATTCATAAGGTGAAATTACTCATAATTTATTTATTACAAGTGAGTCCTAATATAACGATATCCTAGAAATAAATTAATATACTGTACACTATATGATATATTTAAGATTTCTTTACTGTATTAATTCAACATTCTTCTACCTTGTAACTTAGAATTGATTTGTTACAATAAAATTTTGGTTGATAAAAGTTTAAAAATTTACAATATTTACTAAGGCCGTACGTACAGTACATATTGTCACGGGAAACCATGACATAATTCGAGGCTTATTTTTATTTGTTCATTATGCGAGATACATCTGACCATAATAAGAAGAAGGAAACCGGTTATTGTGGGCACCAATTGTGGGGTCTTACGTCTAGAGAGATTGTCCCAGTACGGGTTGTTCACATTGAACTTAGCTGGCGGCAAAAATTGTGCGGCAATTTGCCTGCATTAAATTAATTTAGGTCGATGATCTTCGAAATTCTTAATTTTGTTTAATTTTTGCCGGAAATTAATTTTCTTTAATATACAAAAAAAAGGAATTTTTAACAAGTTATGCGCCTGCTTATGCGCTGGGAGTTTGTTTATATATACTGTATATATTTATATTCTGTTTTAGCGTTAGTGTAATAATAAAATTTGATCTCGATTTAATAGTTTTTGTTAGAATTTTGGTTTAATCTTAAGTAGTGTATTAAATAGTAATAAAAGAATCACGATTATCAACATGAATAGGTTCTTTATATTTTAGTTTTTTTCGGTTTTGTTTTCTGGTCTTTAAGTAATTTGTTATGAGTAAAGTTCTACAGTAATCTGGATCTATCTGTTATCCATTTATCTGATATTATAACTGGCGAGAAAGCTTATAGAGTCTTGAACCAATTTAACTTCAATTATGAACAAATAGTAATTAAAATTAAATCAATAAACTAATATACTGTATATAATTATAGGTTATAGGGTTTCTTTTTATTAATATAAATCAATACATCAGATTATACAATAATAATAAATACTATTAACAATTATTCTAATCCTTCTTTTTAGACTGAATTATATTTTTATTTGTATAGGAGTTTCAATCTCTTGGAGCTTTAATTCTTTACATAAAACTTCAATGTTTTATTTAGAGCTTTAATTACCCAACCATGTTACAATTTATACTAAAATAAGAAATTCATAAAATAACAATAAGCAAAAAGATCTATACAACTCTTTCTATCAATTCTCTATACCAAAATTTCTAAAAAAAATCTAATCCAAAAACAGCAAAGTAGACATTTACAAAAGTTATTCTAAATAGTAACAAAACTATATATAAGATAGTACTCATCGTTTAGAGGTAGTTCTTATATACTATTTGCTAGTGGCTTAGAGTTTATTACTTACTACTAGAAAGTACCTGTTATTTAAAAGTAGTTTTTATATATTACTTGCCAACAGGTCTAAAGTTTATCACTTATTGAAAAAGAGTTTATCTTGGGTTATATATATCAAGTTTACTGTTTTTTAAAGTGTTTCTCCTTAGCATAAAAACTTTGACAATTACACAAAGTATTTTTATTATACTACTACCCACTTCTCTTAGCAACAAAATTTTTGAAAAAAATAAACAAAACAGTTTACTCTTATTAAAAAATTAGCAATATTTACTTCTTTTAAATTTAGACAATATAATAGATAATAACTATATATTTGGTCTAAATAGATATTGTACTACTTTTTTAAACTGGGTCTAGCTTAAAGTATTAGTTAAAATTTCTAATATTAGTTATTAGGCTAAAAAAAAAGGTATATAATAAAACTTAGCTTAGTGTTTCTATAAACCTAAACTAAACTAAACTTTGATTAAATTTAAGGTTATTTTTTTTTTTCAGTGTTAAGGTGACCTCTGTGGTCAGGGGCTTTTTATTAGATAATTAACAATGTTTACAATTATGATGAAGGTACAATTAACCACATGTACAACTTTTGGTTGTTTATTTTAAATAGTCCACCCAAGTTCTACACTAGCTGCCATATGCTATACCTGCAGTCTAACTAGAAGATTATCTATTTAAGCTCTCTGGCTTTTACAAGTAAGAGTACGACTAGCCATACCTGCAACTTTTGGTTGCCTATTTAAGTAGTCTGCCCAAGGTTCCACACTAGCTATCATATCTGCAACCCAACTAGGGGATTACCTATTTAAACTCTCTGGTCACAACTGGCTTGTTATTTCTTATCTAACCAAGGTATAACTTACTATTCATATACTAGATTTTGTAATACCTATAGATTTCACACCCTATCTAGAACTACTTTATCCTCAAGATAAACCTAACAGAGTAGTATATATCCTACATATATATTCATCTGCATGTTCAGTAACTTCTTTCTAATCTAGCACCTGTTTTAAATTTAGGTTTAGATTTAGTTTAATTATATTTAATATTAAACTTTTAAGTTAAATTCATATTTAGTTTAAATTTAGTATTAAATTTTTAAGTCAGGTTTATATTCAATTTAGATTCAGTTCAAAGTTTATAAATATATTTAAATTTAATAGTAGTTTAGTAATAAAATATAGTAAAATTTTTTTTATTGTTTTTAAAATTTACAAATTTGGAGTTTTTTTAAAAAAAATCTTTTTTTTTTACTAAATAAACTAATTTTCAACTTCTAAGAAAAGTTATAGAGAAGTGTTTTGTAATTAAAATAATAGTTAAAGATATTAAAATTAGCTTAGTAAATTGCAAGATATAAATACATATTTTAGTTCTTGTAACTATGTATATATATATTTTCTTCTTTATATAAATAAAATGAAAATACTTATATCTTGTGATCTACTAGACTAATTTTAATGATTTAACTACTATTTTGATTACAAAATATTCTTTTACAACTTTGATTAGAAGTTAAAAAGAGATTTACTTTGCAAAAATTTAAGATTAATAACATTTTGTATAATTTATTAATAAAATTATAAAAAATATTATAATTCTTAAAATTTTACTAATTAATTATATATATATATATATACTGTATATATATTAATTATATAGTCTTGCTTTTATTATATAAGGTAATAGTAATAGGCTACTAGAAAAAAATTATATAAAAATTATATAAATTTCCCTTCTTATACAATAAAAACTTACCTAGTTATTGAAGTACCATATAGCACTCTATAAAGTACCTTATTAAAAAGTACACCTATATATTAGTACCTGGGTATTATATTAGTCTAATAGCTTTAAAGATTAATATATACCTGGGTATTATATCATTTACATAACCTTAAAAATTTATTTATACTCGGGTATTATATTATATTTTTTTTCTTAAAAAAAGATTATTTATATTATCTATATAACTATTAATATCTTTGAAAAAGTATATTAAATTACAAAAGGCAATCCTGAACCTTTTTTTTATCTTTTAATAACTACTATTCACTATAATAATAATTAACTATCTAAAGAGTTTGAACTAATAGTACTTGAAGTAAAGATTAAGTAGATAGAAACAGAAAAATTTAATTATATATTTGAAAACTCTGAGAATTTTAACCAAGAAATTGTTACTAAATCTAGATTAGAAATTATACATTCTAATTCTAATCTATCTAATCTTTTAAATCTTTTAGTAACTAATATAACAAGATATAGATTAAGCTTAAAGTCTTATTACATAGTTAAAAAGTAATTTAGAATTAACAAAAGGAATAACACAATTTACTTTACATTTCTTCTCTTCAAACAATTAAAATAATAATACAGAGCTTATTTTTAAACAAGTATATATATAATTAAATAGTTAATAACTCTACAAATATGTCTTAACAAGTCAAATTAGACCAAGATAGTAATAATAATCAAATTATCTATATAGTTAATAATAACAACCAAAAAGATGATGAGATGCAATCTAATTTATATATTCTAAATAGTTCTAATAGATTGGCTGAGGAGTGAGAAAGCTAAAAAATCAGAATAAACAACTACAATAGCAACAACAAAAGGAAAATAGACCAAATTCCTCTGAATTTAATCTCTAAATAGCTATTCAAGCAATTTTAAGAGGTTTAAATAAAGTAATAGAAAATAATAATACTTAAGTCACTATAGCAGCTACTAATCAAAAGAAGTATAAGATGATTAATTTTTTTATCTTCTTAGAAAATAGCAATGAAGACCTAGTCAAATAGCTTAAAGCCTTTACAAGAGTATATGTTAATAACAACATAGCTAAAAACTAAAGGCTTGCAATTATATTTAATTTTCTTAGAAGAAATACATTATCTTAGTATAATTAAAATAAAACAAGCTTTGTATATTGGAAAAATAACCTTTAAACCAATTGATCCTTTATCTACCTTTTTAAATAAAAATTTTAAAACCTATTTAAAGTATCTCAATAGCATTATACTTTACAAAGCTAAAAACAAAAACCTAATAAAATAGTAAATATATATAATTTTGCCCTTAATAAATTATAGCATAGAGTAGACCCAAATAGTCATTACTTTGAAGTTGACAAAATCAAATAATTTATTAATAGTCTATACCAGAAATTTCAAATTTTAGTTTAATCTAAAAACTCAACTATACTAAACCAAGCTATAAATAAAACAAGAGTCATTGAAATAGCATATTCTAAAGGAAGTACTCTCTCTACCTATTTTCTTCTATTAATCTCCTTTTAATCACAATTCTTTGGAGAATATACAGCTTCTGCATACATGGCAGTACTTATTTAACTACAAAATAGTCTTCGAGATAACTTTATAAAAGCTGCTTAATATGTTGCTAGGTTTATACAACAGAACCAACCAAAAGCCCAACTATTTCAAAACCAAAATTGAAATAATTATAATAACAATTATAATAATAATAATTATCAACTCTTTCCGCTAATCCTCTATACCAAATTTAGTCAAGAAGAAAACTAGCAAATTACTGCTAACTAGGACTAAGAAACTATACAAACTACTTTAAAAAAAGCAATAGAGTGACAAAAAATAACA